AAAAATTTGGAGAGCTACGGCGGGAAGAAGAAAGCTCAGGAAAGCTAAATGATAAATGCTAAGAAAATCAAAATATAAGAACCCTCTTACAGGCCTATCTATAAGCAAAGCTATAATAGACACTCAAAACTAGAACCAGTTTCCTTATTTATCATATTGACAGAGATGAGCCAAAAGATAGAAAGAATGAAATTTCAATAATGGTTGTTCTCAATAACTGTAACATTGACAGTTTATGTCTGATGTCATCAAAAGCCTTTCAATCCTAATTTCCAAGTTTTAAGCACTAGTGTGGAAAAAAAGAATCTCTTCATATCAAAAAAAAATTATCTTATAAAAGGGCTACTTGGTAATAATAAATAATGCCACATAATATCTGTATGCCACATTTTATTTCTCCAAAACCTTTTGCAGTTAATTTTATTTCCATGTCTACAGTTAAATGAAGTCATTTCAAACTCAAATATTTTAAAATAAATGATTAAAAAGAGGGAATCATTATTTCTTTCATATAACAATTAGAGATTGTTCTCAGATAAAGTCACTAACTAAACATGTTTGCTAAGCATGAAATGTGGTTGTTCAATATTTTGAGCATATATTTTAAGACCAAATAGAGGAAATTGAGATGGAGTTTTAAATACTAATAACATGAACTACCGGATAAAAACAGGTTTAAAGAAATTGCACTAAGCTAAGAGGGATAAAATGTTTCCAACTTGACCTCAACCAGGAATTCAGAATACTAGTTGACAAAACTGATTATAATCCTGTGTGATTAATAACATGGGTTGATATCAAGTGGTACATATTATGTATGCAGAACAATCTAACCTCAAGCTGCATTCCATAAGGAGCTTTTAGAAACTGGCAGTACCCACAAAAATAAATGCCTTTATTATGTGCCACTAAATCAGGCAATAGTTATAAAAAATAAATAATATTTTTTCTGCTACTAGGGATTGAACCCAGGGGTGGTCTATCACTGAGTAACATCCCTAGTCCTTTTAGTTTTTTATAGGGCCTTGCTAAGGTGCTTTGGACTGGCCACAAACTTGCGATCCTCCTGTCTTAGGCTCTGGAGTTGCTGGGATTACAGAAGTGCGCGACCCAGCAGTTATAAATTTCCACATTCAGGGGCTGGGGTTGTAGCTCAGTGGTAGAGAGCTTGCCTAGCGCGTGTGAGTCACTGGGTTCAATCCTCAGCACTACATAAAAATAAATGAATAAAATAAAGGTATCGTGTCTATCTATAACTAAAAATATTTTTTTAATATTTATTTTTTTAGTTTTAGATGGACACAATATCATTATTTTTTATTTTTATGTGGTGCTAAGGATCGAACCCAGTGCCTCATGCATGCTGGGTGTGCACTCTACCACTAGCCACAACCCCAGCCCCTACAGCTAAAAGTATTTTTTAAAAAAACTACATCTTACATGAAGTTCAAAACCAGCAAAAAAGATTTCCACAGTCTTTTAAGAATCATCTTAAATATTCAATAAATATAAATGAGTTTCAGAACTGTTTCAGCCCTCCAGTTCATTATTATCTAATCTTATCCAAAAATAAAAAGCCAAAACAATTGTCTTCAATGAAGCCTGTATATTCCCACCAAGCTATAACTACTTTCTTAAGGCCAATCTTCAAATATTTGGGTCACAAAGCTTAGAAAGTACTTCTAGTGTTTCTTTGGATTCTGGAAAAGCAAGATGTAAGTCATCTCCACCCCTGGAAAAGTCTATTTCCTAATCCTGTTCATCCTTCATACCATAAAATTTCTCATTTAGCACCTAAAAATCAGACCCTAAACTTGAGAGAAACCCAATCTCATCTATATTATGGCAATACTTCACTTGGGATCAGATGATGTCTCATTAACATTCTGAAGATTGTACCTACCCCCTGAATCTACACCATCTGTGAAAGATTAGGCTATTCATTCTAGAAGCTGATCCTTAAACACCAGAGGTCTCTATTTAGAGTTCAAAGAGTAAAAAGGAAGGGCACAAGGGCATGTGACTTTATCACAGTGACTGGAGGCTGAGGCAGGAGAATCCCAGATCTGAGGCCAGCCTTGGCAATTTAGCAAGACCCTAACTCAGTAAGGGGATGTAGGTGGGTGGTAGAGCCCCCAAATTCAATCCCCAGTACGGGGGAAAAAAAGAATATCCAAATCAATATCTTAATTTTTACAGAGATGAAAATGAGTCCAAGGAAAAACATGAACTATCAATGGTCACATATCTAATTAGTTGCAGAAGTCGGAGAAGTCTATTATCAAATGAATTTGACAGAATTACCCTCAATGACACCTATCCACAGGTGACTTAATTAAAAGATGGATCAAAGGAGAAACTTTGTCCTATTTTGGAACATTAGTTAGGTGAGAAGCCAGTGGAAACTGGAAACTGTCCCCTTCCTAGACTGCTGATCACACTTCTATCCAGAACTCCTCCACTGGCACCTGTCCCCTTTCCAGGCTGCTGATCACACTTCTGTCCATGACTCCTCCACGAGCTACCAGTATGAGTTTTGCCAACAGTAAGGCATGCAAAGAACTAAGCACACAGTCTGCATAGTAGCCATGAACTTGGAATGACTTTGCAACTACAAACTGCCTTGTAATATCATTAATTGAGTTTCCTATAATGGTAATTATCTCACCATTGCCAAACTCAGTTTCCTCAGCAAATGGACATTATGTTTCACATAGTTTTAAGTTCTCATGGAGCTGTGAGACTTCAAGGAGTCAGTTAATCCAGTCTTTCACGGGGAGGGGGGGGGGGGGCCTCACTATAACATTTTGAGAAGGACAATTCCTGGCTACTACATTGCAGAAGGTTTAGTATCACTGATCATCTGTCCTTTAAATATAAGTAGTCCCACCTGTCACAACTCCATACACTTCCAAGTGAACTCAAGAAAGAAGATATCACCACCAGTATTAACCTTAAGGTTAACCTTAAGTGAACTATAAAGTAATAAAACATTTTACATAAAGATAAAAACCTAACCCCTTTTCTCTGCCACTAATTCCTCGTTTTTTACCCAGAGATTATATATAATACATTGTTCATTCACTCCATAAGACCAACTTTGTCTTAATTTATTATATAATTAGGATACTTGTATGCTCTGGGAAATAGAGCAGAAAAAGTACTGAAATGGAATCAAGACATCCAGTTTGAAATTCAGTTTTCTGGCTATTCAACCGTACTCAAGTTATTTCCTCTCAATACACCTTGATTTCCTCATCTATTAAAACAAAAACAAAAAAATATGTTAAATTATCTCTCTAGTTCACTTAAGTTCTAGGAATCTACAAAGTAAACCATAAATAACTTGCTTTATTCTTTTTTTCTGACCTCCCTATGGCTATATGGGGGTGACTGCTAACATGTACCACCTCATCTCACAGAAGCCAGGATCACAAGCCTGTGGGATGACAATAAGACAGAACCATCATATTCAGCTAGATCCAGTACAGTATTTTTTGGTAGAGTAGTATCTTGATGTATAGAAAGGAGCTGAATTGCTTTATAATCCATTAATAAAAGAAGTACCAAGGTAATAACAGCAGCAATAGCCACTCTAACTTATGTTTATCTAGATTAGGCCTATAACCTTAATGCTGCTTGTGCAGTAGAATCACCTGGATAGCTTTTTTTTTTTTTTTTTTTTTTAATGCCCCAGTTCCAAGCTAAGCCAATACCAAATGATACCAGAATCTCTAGGAAGAGGACGTTTTCTTTAACTCTTTAACCCTTACCTACCCAAGAGATACTGATGAACAGTAAGAACTAACTATTGATACAGACCCTTTCATCCCAAAATTGCCAAGCAAATGACCAAAGGTATAGGCTCACACACTGATTATATAATCAAACATCAATAAATAAGAATATTCCAAGGGAAAGAGTTATGGTTCAGTGGTAGAGCGATTGCCTAGCATGCATGAGGCACTGGATTCAATCCTCAGCACCACATATAAATAAATGAATAATAAAAAAAAGGTCCATCAACAATTCAAAAATACTTTAAAAAAAAGAATATTCTAGTGGTACTATTAACATTCTCAATTACAGATTGTGTTTGTAGAGAAAAAAGAGGGCTCTGTGGGAATCCCTTGTTTATATCACAATGATTTATTGAGGATTAACTGTGCTAGAAACAATATAATTTCATGACATGAGTAAAAAGTTTAAAGAAAGATTACTACAAATCTGCCCATCCCTGCAGAATTCCTGTCAAGCATCAAGAGAGTTAAAACTATGTTAATAAAGCAGTACAAAGGCTGAAATTCCTCAAACCAACTCTCACTTGCTAGGTCTCACCTAAAAGATCTAGTATGTATGAAGGATAGGAAAAAGTTGAGGGGAACATTTAGAAAAAGACAATTCTTTCTTTTTTTTTTTTCTTTTTTGGTACTGGGGATGAAACCCAGGTGCACTTTACCACTAAGCCACATCCCCAGCCCTTTATTTTGTATTTTATTTAGAGACAGGAGCTCACTGAGTTGTTTAGGGCCTCGCTAACTTGCTAAGGCTGGCTTTGAACTCACGATCCTCCTGCATCAGCATCCAAGCAGCTAGAATTACAGGTGTGATGATGATAATGATAATAATAATAATAATAATAAATGGTCTCGATATGTTCCTATAAAAAAAAAAGAATTACAGGTGTGAGCCACCATGCCCAGATAGGAAAAGACAATTCTAAGATACAACATTTCAGGGCTGAGATTCCGGCTCTGTGGTAGAACACTTGCCTAGCATGTGTTAGGCACTGGGTTCAATCCTCAGCACCACATATAAATAAATGAATAAAATAAAGATCCATCAACAACTAAATAAAATAAAAACAACATCTCCCACTTAACTCATCAAAACCATGAGTCCAGTGACTTGGGAAGAAGTGCAGCAATCTTAGCTTTCAAAGCATAATCAACAAAACTAATTAGGTTAAATAAGATAACCATTAAACCTCTCTCTCTTACCTTATGTGTAAGGCCAAGCCATCCTGTAAGCTAGAGATCCCCAAATCAGAAAGTGTATCTGAGCTGACAGAAGCTGGTGACAAAGAGCCCTCCTTCTCTTCCAGGAGGTCCAGCTTCACCAGGTTGCTGATCTCATCTTCTGAGTTATCTTCAGACACAGAACCAATTATGAATCGAGAATGCTGGTTCAGCTCCAGAGGTTTGGCCAAGGGAGATGGTTCATCCATTATTCTTTCAAAATAAGCTCTCAGAGCTATGGAGAAAATAATAAAAAATAAGAAAAAAAATAAAATAAAAAAGCAAGTTATGGATAACAGTCTGACAACACTCACAGAGTATACCTAATGAACCACAGCTGGCTCTTGGGAGCAAGACAAGAGTTAGACACTTAGTTTTCCTGGCTACTCTATTTCAGAGAGACTTTGATTCCTCCAAAGCAGGAAGTGAGATCATGGTAACTATGCCTATAAATTAAAATCAATTCCCTTTTCCCTAAAAAAATCTTTCTCAAAAAGCCATAGGCCATCCATAATCTCTTTATCAATTAAATGAGATCTATCAGATAATTATGATCAATAGGAAAACCTTGGTAGAATATGAATACTAACTGTTGTGGGGCTGCAACTTCATTGTTAGTATTAGTGGTAATGAATGGTAAGGGTTAGGGAAAATTGGTGGTTGTTTGAATCTTGCTGTTAAGAGTAAATTATAAGAATTGTTATGCAAAAAAAAAAGAGTACATGTATAATAGCATAATTTGGCATGAACATACCTTATATACAGAGTTACGAAAAATTGTGCTGTATATGGTAATAATGAGTGTGATGCATTCCACTATTGTCGTGTATTAAAAAAAAAAAGAGTAAATTATAAAATGATCATGTGGTTCCAAACACTATACATTGAGAGGTTGTGAAATCTTATATAAGTACATACTTTTAAAGAAAATCCCCAGCCAATTTGGAAAGCAGTATGGAGATTCCTTGGAAAGCTGGGAATGGAACCACCATTTGACCCAGCTATTCCCCTTCTCGGACTATTCCCTAAAGACCTTAAAAGAGTCTACTATAGGGATACTGCTACATCGATGTTCAAAGCAGCACAATTCACAATAGCTAGACTGTGGAACCAACCTAGATGCCCTTCAATAGATGAATGGATAAAAAAAAAATGTGGCATTTATACACAATGGAGTATTACTCTGCACTAAAAAACGACAAAATCATGGAATTTGCAGGGAAATGGATGGCATTAGAGCAGATTATGCTAAGTGAAGCTAGCCAATCCCTAAAAAACAAGTGCCAAATGTCTTCTTTGATATAAGGAGAACAACTAAGAACAGAGCAAGGAGGAAGAGCATGAGAAGAAGATTAACATTAAACAGAGGTGGGAGGGAAAGGGAGAGAGAAGGGAAATTGCATGGAAATGGAAGGAGACCCTCATTGTTATACAAAATTACATATAAGAGGAAGTGAGGGGAAAGGGAAAAAAAAACAAGGGGGAGAAATGAATTACAGTAGATGGGGTAGAGAGAGAAGATGGGAGGGGAGGGGAGGGGGAGGGGGGATAGTAGAAGATAGGAAAGGCAACAGAATACAACAGACACTAGTATGGCAGTATGTAAAACAGTAGATGTGTAACCAATGTGATTCTGCAATCTGTATACGGGGTAAAAATGGGAGTTCATAACCCACTTGAATCAAATGTATGAAATATGATATATCAAGAGTTTTGTAATGTTTTGAACAACTAATAATAAAAATTAAAAAAAAAAGAAAAGAAAATCCCAAGTGGGTATTTTTTTTAATTAAAACAAAAACAAACAAAAAAGTTTATTACTGAATAAAACAGTAATAACAAATTGCCAGAAATGAAAAAAACTATAAACATTTCCTAAATGTTAGTTGGAGATTACTTAAGTTAACTTCTATTTTTAAAACTCAAGTCAAATATTGGTCTGGGGATAGACCTGAGTTCAATGTTCATCATCAAAAAGTTTTGATGTTTTAAATTTACTATAGATCTCTCAGCTATAATATTAGATTCTTTTTTGTTGTTGTTGTTCTAATTAGTTATACATGATAGTTGAATGCATTTTGACACATCATACATAAATGTAGTATAACTTCTCATTCTTCTGGTTGTACATGATATAGAGTTATACAGGTTGTGTAATCATATATGCTCATAGGGTAATAATGTCCAATTCATTCTACTACCATTCCTTCCCCATTCTCCCTCCCCTCCCTTCACTCCCCTCTGTCTAATGCAAAGTACCTCTATTCTTTCCCCCTTATTATGAATTATTAGATTCTTTAAAATAAAATGTCTCCAAATTTTATGAAGAAGTTTATACTAGAAGCCTAAAAGAAAACTAAATCATTTAAAAAGGAAGAAAGGAAAAACGGAGTAAGGAAAGAAAAGGGGAGAGAAAGGAAAAGTTCCAACAGACTGACCACTCTGAGGAACTTCAAAAGATGCAGTTGCAAAAAGCCTCTTTCACATTTATAAACCTTATAGTCAAATTTAAAAATAACAGTAGATCCAAAAAATAAAATTCCTTTCCACTAAGAAAAAATAATGACTGCCTTCCTCTAAGAGAAATAAGAAGTAAGGCACTCAGGTGCAGATTCATACAGACTGAATGAAGTTTGATGACCACACACAAAAAATCAAAACCATGAGAAAGGACTGATTTCTTTTTTATTCTATGAGAGAAGTAAAAGTTAGCAAAATATGGTCTCTGGGCTAATAAATGAAAGGCCTAGTTTTCCTTTCCAAGATCGTGAAGGCAGCCTTCTCTAAAGGGTTGCACAGACTGGAAGCAGCTCAGGGTTAACAGCTAAAGGGCCGGTCCAGCCACCAACACTTGTACAGAAAAAGTATTCCCAGGCACAAGCATGCAAACTACCAGAAAAGAGAGGTCATGTATGGAAAATCACTGAGCAGCTACCCAGACACTGTAGAAGCTACCTCACCACATGTCCCATTTCCACTGCTTCTAGTCCTAAATTAGAAGGTACAACACTATGTTCGTGTGACTCCTTGTTCACTTCAGGCTCTCTACCCTAGGTTTGCCTACATTTTTTTGTAGAAGACAACTTTTAACAACAACAACAACAACAAAAAAAAAAAAAAAAAAAACTCAAATAAATTTATTTAAGCACATGAACAAAATCTTTATTACATTATAAATATCAAAGAGCATTATTTGTAACTGACCTCTTATAATTCTTACTGTCTGAGCAGTTATCCGCTTCCAAAAAGAACTAAAGAAATAAAGAAAGAGAAATTTGAAGATTTTTTTTAAGAACCCCAAATTTTTGTCAATTCCTATTTTGTTCAGCATAATACAAAATTAATATTATTTAAAGTATCACTTTTGTATGGTCTAATCTATTACTTAACTTGAATCACAAAGTTCAGTAGTTTATTATTTGTTCAATTCCATAAGTCATACACATTACAAACACAAAGTAAGAGTCAAAACTTACCATTTCATAAAGTGACTTTTCCAGAAAAGCTGTATACTCAATGTATGCATTCCAATCCTTATCATTTCATTAAAAATGAGGCAGTTAGGCTCTGATTATATTCCCTAGTGGCTATACTTACTCATGAAGGCCAGGAGCCAGGGAGAAGGCAATGCTCTGTTTTACTAAGTTTCTAAGGTCAAAAGGACTACCAAAAAGTCTCTACTCTCCACATCCTAGGTTTCCTTCTAAAATAACAATTTAAACGTATCTAGGATAGAAATTCTGGATTTATGCATAAGAATCACCTGGGAGCTTTTAAAAACTACCCATATCTACATTTTCCCCCAAATCTACTGAATCAAAACTGCAGCTAGAGGGGGGCCCAGGAACCAGAATTTTAAGTTCCACATCTGGTTGCACTGATGTAAAGCCAGACTTAAGAAACACTGGTCTAAGGCAGAGAATGAAACAAATGGGAAGATGCCATTACTTTGATAGGAAAATCCAGAACTTCTAAGAGAGGATCCCCAAATGACAAAGGACAAGATTTGGAGTAGTGTGGGTACATTAATTGGGGAATTATGATTTATCTAATTATGTAGTCTGAACTATTATTATCCCTACAATTGTGTAAGGGAAAGGAATAAGAAGGCAAAAGGAAGTATTTTAAATCAGGTAACCAAAGATTCATTGGAGCTGGAGTCAAAACCTATAACCTGTCCACGCCTGTAATCCCAGCAATTGGGAAGAACAAAGCAAGAGGATTGCAAGTTCCAGGCCAGACTGGGCAACTTAGCAAGACTTCTCTCAAAATAAAAAATAAAAAGGGACTGGGGATGAAGCTCAGTTTAGGGTACCCTGGGTTCAGTGCTCAGTACCAGAACAAAACAAAAAATAAAAAGCACCCAGGTTGAAACTCTGACTCTGGAAAGTATTGACAGTGGAAACAAGCAAGTCACTTAACACTGCAGAGCTACTTTATGTGCAAAAATTAAAAGATCATATTTACTTCATGGGACTACTATGAAGACAGAGTATGTGAAAGTGTTCTATAAACTGTAATATAGTAGGTCAGTGTTTTTGAAAGATTGGGTCATCACCCAGCGGAGTATTAATAAATCAACCTGATGATTTACAATCAATATTTTTCTAAATGAAATAAAAGAGAAAATGTTAAAAGTGAATCATATTTTATGAAGGTATCTATAGTTCTGCAAATTTTTGTTTCAGTTACACATGACCTATACATAGGTCATTGCTGCAGTCTGGCTGGGCACAAATCACGAGCCACTCAAGCAGGAACAAACTTTATTTCCGACCTCCCACAAACGCCACCCACTCGGCTTTCTCCAGGACACACCACACACCAACCAGAACTCCCTCCACCGGAACTTCACCCACCAAATCGAACTCTCCAGGAAACCCCGCGAGAGCTCAACTGGAACTCAATGGGAACTCCGCGAGAACTCAAAAGTACTGGCAAAATGCTAGGCGCTATCCCAACTCGGCTGTGGCTCTCAACAGGTCATGATGTAATTGACATTTCACTGTAAACTGTATCCAAAAATCCTAACGTTACAACTAATTCTTACTCTCCCATCCCTTCCACTTTATGCCTTTACTTCAAAGCAAACACAGTAAGTATCTAAATCAATGGTTTCTAAACCCTGTTAGGTCAAGACGCTATAGGAAATCTGATAAAAGCTATGGACCCTTTCCTGACAAAATATATATCCTCCTACACATTTTTCCTTACCTACTAGTTTGGGATTCCTAAAGCCTTGCCATGAATTAGGTTAACACTTCTCTAGAAAGAGAACAAAGAACGGAGTTTACTTTTGGGTAAGCCTCATACAGTTGCTGTCTTATCACCTCCAAAGAGCCCTTTTTTTGGTTGCAGGATAGTCTGCCTATCCATATAAAAAATATTTTCTTCAGTATACAAATTGTTCACAATGTCAAACTGTCTTTTATTTAAAAGTTCTTGGAATTTTCTTTGGGGACTCTTGAAAATATTTGGGGCTCAGTGGTGGAGCACTTGCCTAGCATACCCAAGACCTTGGATTTAATTCCCAGCACTACAAAAGAGGAAAAAATAAGCCAGGCACAGTGGCACAGGAGGGGCCACTGTAATCCCAGCAGCTCAGAGGCTGAGGCAGGAGGATTTTGAGTTCAAAGCCAACCTCAGCAACGGCGATGCGCTAAGCAACTCAGTGAGACTCTAACTCTAAATAAAATACAACATAGAGCTGGGGATGTGGCTCAGTGATCGAGGGCCCCAAGAGCCCCTGAGTTCAACCCCCAGTACCAAAAAAGAGGGAGGGGGCAGGAATAAAATAAAATTTTTGCAAAAGGCTTTGGAACTGTGCCTTTTGTTTCTGAAAATGAAATTACACTAATTATAGCTAATGTGCCTATTTAAAAGTCTAAATGAATTTCTTTCACAGATAAGTACATCAGACTTTACCAAACTTATCATGTTCTCCTTGAACTCAAATGACACTTTGAAACTTTGACATTTTCCAAGCAATTCTAATAAACAGGTGGCAATAAACTCTCTTCTATTCTTTCCTTCCTTCCACTCCTCCCCGGATTTCCTTTCTTCCATACTTAGGGATTGAATCCAGGGGTGCTCTCCCACAGAGCTAGCTATGTCCCATTTTATTTTGATACAGAGCCTTGCTAAATTGCTCAGGCTGGCCTCAAACTTGCCATCCTCCTGCCTCAATCTCCCAAAACACTGGGATTATAAGCAGGAACCACCATACTGGGCATCAATTTGTTTTTATAGCTATTGATAAAAGTATCCAAGCCTATTACAACATGTCCTTGTCTTTCAAACCACAGTAAGTTCATTTTTTTCCATAAATAACTGAATTGGCCTTTTTTCATTTGGTCATTTTATTGATGATATTTTAATGGACTTCGGTATTAACTCCGTGTTATAGAGGATTACAAAGAATTTTTAAAACCATTTTTTATTTTCTTGCAAGTTTTAAATATGAAAATAAAAGCTCGTGATCCAAATAGTGAGGCAGATGCTATGTATTCAAAAATAAATAAGATTTAGTTCTAGGCTGAGTGGCTGTGACACTCAGAAACACAATTACAGTAATATAATAAATGTTAGGTGGAAACATAGAAGGATATTTTATCCAAACTTGGAGGAGTTAATGGTGAGGAAAGGGATCAAGAAAAACTTTCTGGGGGTAGGAAGACATTAGGGATAAAGAATTAAGGGAAAATCCAAAAAGGGGGTAAAAGTATAAGTCCATGTAGAATGAAAATCTAAATCAAATCCAGATGGCAGAATCTGATGACTTATCAGCAACACTAGATCTGAATGATCACAACAGTTTGAGATAATTTCTTTCAAGAGCCAGCTAGAGACTTTTTGGGGGGTGGAAGGGAGGGAGGTAAACCGAAAGAGTATTTCTTTAGGGTATAGCAGTCAGAGAAAATAAAACTAATGTAATTATCTGTCCTAATTCCCATGTCTCAGTCCAGGGATAAGAAATATTTTTTAAGGATTAAGCTAGTGCAAGCTTCTGCATTTTTCAAGAAATCTCTAAAGAAGCCTTGCAAAACTATTGAATAAATATGGGTTTAACACATATCTACTTTTTTCTTCCTGAAAGTCCACTGAAACAAAAGTATAAAGTTTTATTGTTGTTGTTTTGTTTTTATTTTAAGGTATAAGCCACAAACAAAGACTTTTAAAAGCAAACAAACAAACAAAAAAAAAAAAAAAAAAATGAAGGGAGACAAGAGCAAGATCATTTCCTTGGAAAGCAACTGGACAAACTGAAGAAAACTGAATTAACTGAATTATCACCCATTTGTGTAAAACTAAGAATAAATAAAATTTATATCACAGGATCTCCAAAACATTTCACCTGTGAATGTGAAAGAGTTAAATAAAATGAGGATTGGTTGAAATTGTTTCAGAAGCTTCACATCATTAGATTTTTTTTTCCCCCAACTAATGAAGCCAGGTGCCTGCTATTCTCGGACTGAAGGTGGGAGAGGGAGAGGGAAATATTTAAAAATAAATAAATAAAAGAAGAAGAAGGTTTACTCTCTGGAGATAAGTTTTTCTAGACTGGGGGATATACCAGTAATAGTAGAGGGCAGGCAGGGGACCTTATTGAAAATGGATAAATTAAATAAACATATTGGGTAAGACTTTCCAGAATCCTTCTTTGTAGAATATGACCAGCCAGGAAACAAAACAAAAACAAACCCTGAAATTAGTAACATTGAAATTCCCTAATTAAGTTGCCTAACCAGATCATTCAGCCTCACTCACATTTTCTAATCACCTTTTCAATCCCCCTTCCAAAAAACATATGAGCAGAAAATAAGGATTATCAGATGTCTGAGAAAAATGTCCAACATGAAAGAATCATAAACAAATAATTGCCAGTCACAGTGGTGTAGTCTCAGCAACTCAGGAAGCTGAGGCAGGAGGATCACAAATTGGAGGCCAACCTCAGCAACCTAGCAAGACTCTCAGCAATTTAGCAAGACCCTGCCTCAAAATTTTAAAAATGGACTGGAGTTAAATCCCAAGTACCACAAGTGTCTCTGTGTTAAATCCCCTGTACCACAAAAATTAACAAATAAAAACAAATAACTGCTTATAGAAAAAGAAAATGCAATGTGGTATCCTGGTTTAGATAATAAAACATAAAAACATATCAGGGGGAAAAAAGTGGGCAAATCTGAATAAGGTCTATAATTTAGGTACTACTATTGTACCAATGTAAATTTTTCTTTCTTATTTTTTTTTG